CCCTGTGAACTAATGCCATTCCTCTGCAAAGTACATTAACGTTGATGAAATCATAATGTGTGAGTAATAAATGAGTGCATGATTGCTGAGATTCTCTCTTAATTAGGTAAACTTGATTACTGGAACTTTTTTTCTAGGTAATTATAATATATAGAATGTCCTTCGCTAAGAGTTGATACTAAGAATGATTAATAATATTGTTTTAGGGATTTACTTATATTACAGAGCCTTTTCCCTACTCCCTTCCCATCACCACATATCTGCCATGAATGGGTCTGGCATGGAAACAGACAGATAGCAGGTTCTCTGTAAATTGGCACTAATTCTAATCTGTTGCATCCTTTTAGGTTTTAAAGAACTTATAGACACTATTAAATCTCTCTAATGCATAAACAGAAGGGATAGTGGCAAACAAATACTGTGCATTCCCATCAAAAAGAGCCAAGTGGTTTATGATCCCAAACCTCCCTCCTCACCTCCTAAAGTAGTGGTTTCAGTGTGTCAGTAACCAAAGATAAAACACTATGTGGACATCGTGGTAATTATTTTGAGGCGCTCTTTTCTTTCAAGGTGAAAAGCACCGCAGTGCAAGGTTAAATGGCTGTCAGGCTTCTCTACACTTAGCGGCTTAGAGTTTGAAGAGCTTAAGCAAAGGGAGTTTCTAAGGGATTCAGAAGCCCTGTTGCCTTCTCTGGTCTGTATCAGTCATATTGTTTAGTAGAGATTAAACAGTTATTACCAAAGTTCAATGGAAGACTCGAGGGGTAACAATTTTCAAAAAGCCAAACCGATCAAACATATCAGCACACCAAAGGAATCTTAATTGGCAGAGAGATTTCAAAGTAGTATCTGTTTTATTCTAATTCGTTCTGTGACAATATCCTGTTTAGATTTGCAAAACAAGACTTTTATAAATGTAGTTCACCAAGGACTTGTGACATTCTGCTGATGAGTTCTCTCTAGAAATGCAGCTAATTTCCCAAACAACAACAAAAAAGTTGAACTTCATATGCTGCCTTGGTTCAGAATCTGGTTATTAAGCAATAAGTTGACAAAATTTTCCTTTCTAAGTGTGATGAAAGGGAAGACAGAGGTCGTCTTCTGTCCTTCCTGAGTAGTGATGGGCCTGAACAGTTGCCATAGAAACACTATCTATTGTCTGTGTAATGAGAACCCGTAACCAGCTCCCCATCTCAAGTCACTCCTTTCAAAGCATCCCTCTTATTGTTTGTTAAAGGGGATCTTTTCTGATCTGCTTAAAAACCAGTGGTACAGGTACCCTAATCGAGAGGAGAAGGATGAAGTTCCTTAACCTGGCCCGCAAGATTCCCCATGGCCTTGGCCCTATATACCCAGGTTTGCTTATTCCTCCCCAACACCTTATATTCCAGCAGCGCCAAGCTTCTTGATAGTTCCACGCACATAATCAGCTATTTCACACCTCTGAGCTTTCCTGCTGCTTGATCGTTTCTAGAGAAGACTTCCCCCTCCTGACCGCTTGGCAACTCTGTTCATCTTTTCATTCATTCATCAAATGATTATTTAAAAAAATACTATGTACCAGGGTCTGTGTTAGATTCTGAGAACACTGCAGTGAGTAAGAGCATATCCTGCCCTCCCAGATACAGGAAATTACAAATCTTCCCCTCCTCTGTGAAGCCTTCCCCAGGCTGCACCCCCATAGTGGGCCCTTTTCCTCCACTTACCTCATTCACAGGAGGTGTTGCCCTCATCACAATGAGCTGTAATTACTGCCCTCCCGGACTCAACTGGGAGTCGTTAAGACAAGGACCTTGTCTTCTTTGTCAGTCCGTAATATCTGGCTTATCATATGTGTTTTATAAACACTTGTAGGGGAAGAAGGGGGCGGGGATAGGGTACACGTGTTTTAAAGTATCTGCCCTTGGTGAGATGGCCACTGCCTAGGTGCTTGGCTGTCCCCCATGCCCTCATTTCTGGCCTTTCCCATTCTCTTTTCAATTCCTTCTCAATTCTCCTCTCCCAGTTCTACCTGGATCACTCGGGATCCTGTTCACGGCTGGCCTTGTTTCTTATACCCCAGGGGAAATTTCAGGAGGAATTTAGGGCCTCAGAAATCAGTTGCCTCCATCTGGGACAATACATCCCCCATGTGGGAAAGAAGTACCTAGGGGGTGCTCTGTGGTATTGCTACAAAGATCTCACAGGTTTGCCCAGGACTCCCCTGGTGGCTGGGGCCATGTTCCCAAAGGGTCTCAACATCCAGCTCCTCACACGGTGCTGAGCCCACAGGCCCCCTAAATGTCCAACACACACGCTGAGAATGAGCAAAAAAATAGTGTCAGGCCCAAGGAAGCTCAGTACCTGTCGTCGACAGTGCCAGGCAGCCCAGCACATGCCGGCTGGAAAAAGAGAGAACATCGAGAATGAAGCTATTCTCATTTTAGCTTATAGGCAAGTCCTCGGTAATTTTAAGAAGAAAAATTTGCTCGGCTGGCGTGGCTCAGTGGTTGAACATCAACCTATGAACCAGGAGGTCACGGTTTGAGTCCCGGTCAGGGCACCTGCCCGGGTTGAGGGCTCGATCCCCAGCAGGGGGCGTGCAGGAGGCAGCCGATCAATGACTCTCTCATCATTGATGTTTCTATGTCTCTCTCCCTCTCTCTTCCTCTCTCTGAAATCAATAAAGACATATTTTTTTTAAAATTTAATACTTTAGTAATGTTTGGTTTGAATTATAAATTGAGGTGGGTGTGCACAATAGGAATTTCAGGGCTTAAGGACTTGGAAGCCATGGTTCTCAAAGTGTGGTGTGGACCCCGAACATCAGCAGCACTTGGAAATGGTTAGAAATACAACTTCCTGGGCAGGCCCTAGATGCACATTTTCAAAGTCCTATGAGTAATTCTGACGAAAGCGTGAGTGTGAGAACCATGGATCTAAGGGCTTTAAAATGACCTTGAGGTATAGAGGAGACTATTACACTGAACTTGGAATTCAAAAGGGCACCTTCTAATCCAGGACCTGTTGAAGCTACACAGTGCTCAGTCATCTTCTCCACTTCCCAGTGATATAAGAAGGAAAAATATCACTGTCCCTGCTTTAGAAAGAAATAAAAATAAACCTGGGGTTGGGGATGGGGTCAAACCCCTGCACACAGCATTTTCGGGGTCTCACAGTGCATAGGCTGATGCTGAATGTGAGCGGAGCCCAGCCCGATTCCCAGAGGTGTCATTTTTAGGTGCAAGGCTTATACTCTGACACCCTGAAGTTTAAACTTTCCCCTGGATTCTATTAACATTCTGACATATATTAACAAGCACAGCAATTAATTAGCTGTATTATATTATAGCTGGAAAATCTCCCCAAAATGTCATTGCAGCAAAACAGATACTAGCTCCCTGAGCAATCTCCTCCATACGACTGGGTGAGGATTTCTCTGTGGCTTCTCTATAATAGACAAGCGCCTGGAGTCTGCAGTGAGGGCCCTGCTGTGAGTGGCACCCTGACGGGTATTTCAAAAGCGCGCTTCCCCAGCGTGCCTCCCCTCTCTTCCTTCCCACACACATCTTAGGTACTAAGCTTTCACCTTCCTCTGTTTTCTAAATCACTCACCACTCATTCATCTGCTTTCTAGCTTCTCAAATTCATGAGCAGCCGTGGCCTGCTCCCACCTCCCCTCCTGTCCCCTTTGTTCCTGTGGGTTTATATCACTCCTTTTGTGTCGCTTTGTGGAGTTCTGGGCAGAGACAAATGTGTATTTTTATTCCACGTTGCTAATGCTCATTTTTATAAAATGATACAGCCCAGAAGGAAATTTAGATATATCTCCAATCCAGTGCTAACATTTTTTGCACCCGAATCCATCTTTTTCAAGACATAATCTTATATGCAGCAATTTAATTTATAAAACAGGTAAGAATGAAACTATCTTGGTTGAAGCTGGTAAAGGAGCGGGATCTGCAACTCATCTCTCTTAAGTTTTTAAGTACCCGTTCAATGTCTCTTCTGCACCAGACAGTGTGAGACTCTGAGAAACAGAGACGAGTGGTGCAGGCCTGGATCCCGTCCTCCTGAGCTCAGCTCACTTGCCCTTTCCTGCTCCTCCAGGTGCCAAGGAACCCAGTGTGAAAATCACTGATGCAGTCTAACTGAGGTCCGAGGGAAAGTGACCTGGCCAAAGGAAAGCCTCTTCGTCTTTGAGTCCATTCTCGGGAGTTAAATGTGCCTAATAAGTGTTACTGATGTGCAACTGGACAGATCACAAGGTACCAGTCAGGAGGAAAAGCCAGGTAGCTGTGTGATAACTGAGGCTTCGCACACAGATATGGAATAAGCTAGAAAAAGGCTATAAATTGTGCACAAAGCTCCTAATGAAACAGTGGTAAATGCTCACACACCTGAAAACTTCACCTTTATGCCTGTCATTCCCTTTGAAGGGATGGCTTTTGGTCATACAATTAAATTTTTTTTAAATGACAGCTTATCATCCAGTGCTAGACATCATCGCAGGCGGCTTTGGGGATTTCAAAAAGAAGCAGCTGAGAAATAAGGTTTTATTCTTGAGCACAGCCATCTCATGCATGGAGACTGACGGCGCTCAAGAAATCTCAGCTGTTTTTCAGACCAAATCACTTCCAATAACTGCCTGACCTTCAGTGTGACGGTCCTTTCAGCCTGAGCGAAGGCCCCATTTATACAGGAGTGAGGTAGACAGGTTTCCCCTCAACGAAACCAGTAAAACCCGACATTAAGCACTGCCAGGCCACCACTGGGTCACAATAAGTCACTGAATTTCAGTTATTTCATCCTTAGAGACTGAGGGTCATTAACAGTAATAATAATAATTCTTCTTTGAGATTCACGAGTCCATGGGCCAGACACTCAGCCTCTGTTGGCCTCAGCTTCCTCAGCTGGCAAATTAGGAGGTTGGACTAAGTCCTTCTCAGCTTTCTATTCCTTGGCTGGTCCACTGGAAGCAGGAAGTGTCACTATGTTTTGGAATGAAGAGACCTACTCACCTACAGAGGTGCCTCCCAGGACGTGTTCCAAACACCTGACCAGCGCTTCAGTATCACTGCCCTGTCAAGACAAGAGAGCGTCATTGCCCTTAGAGTAGAAGGATGCTTAATGACATGGAAAATGTTCTTGCACATTTAGGCAAAACAAAACACAAAAATATTTGGCTGCAAAATTATTTTACATTATGATCCCCCCCTTTTTTAAGAAAAATATCTCTCCCTCCCTCCCTCTGTTCCTCTTTCTCTTTCTCTCTCTCTCTCTCTCTCTCTCTCCCTTTCTATCTCCCTCCCCCCACTTTCTGATGGGAAGAACATACACTAAAATGTTAACTGTTTTGTTCTGTTTTTTAAATATGTTTTTCTTGATTTCAGAGACAGGAAGGGAGAGGAAGAGAGAGGGAGAGGGATAGAAACATCATGAGAGAGAGTGATTAATCGGCTGCCTCCTGCCCGCCCCCTACTGGGGATCAAGCCCGCAACCCGGGCATGTGCCCTGACCGGGAATCGAACCGCCTNCATTGATCGGCTGCTTCCTGCCCGCCCCCTACTGGGGATCAAGCCCGCAACCCGGGCATGTGCCCTGACCGGGAATCGAACCGCCTGGTTCCTAGGTTGACGTTCAACCCCTGAGCCACGCCAGCCGGGCTAAAATGTGAACACTGGTTTTGACTGCAAGGTGGGATTATGGGTGACCTTTTATTTTATCTTTTGTGTGCTTGTGTCTTTTCTAAATTTCAATAATAAACAAATATGACTTACTTAACTTATTAAATGGTAAATGCTATTAGAATTTTAAAAAACAGTTCTATGCAATCTATAATCCCCTCAGTACAGCAGGAATCAAGTGCATATTTATTCCTAGAGAGCGTCTCTACCAGATCTCCTGAAATGTATGGTCTTCAAGGAGTCATACATCTAGGAATTGCACTCCTTATTTACCTAACCCTCAGACTCAGACACCCCCGTGAGGGTTAGGGGATAATCCCAGAGCTGTGTTTGATAACAAACATTGTCTCTAATATGAAATAAATATATTTCCTCTACCCAGGAGGCTGGAAATATTCAAAACAGCATTATAATGATCTGGGAAAGTGGAACCTCTTAATTACTTTGTGGTTATTCTGAGAGGAATTAATAATTTACGGCTCACTTGCTCCATTTCAAAACAAGCAACGCATTTTATATTGCAGCAATTTTGGATTTTAGAAAATCATACTGTAGTGCAATAAACTACCCAAAGCGGTACATCGCCGTGCCGGGTTTCGTTTCATAACACCTGGTGGGGCTGGGCGGCCACTCCTTATGGCTGCGGAAAGACCCAGCATCACTTCATGTTCCCGGGTGTCGACAAGGCAACGATGAGGGACACATGCCTGGTCACTGCTGGTCAGTGAGGCCCAAAGCACTAACTGAAGACCCTGGTGCCCAGCCCAGGAACAGGGAGGCAGGTCCCAGGCACAGAAACAGGAGAAAAAAGCAGGTCTCTTCCTTCTGCACCCTTGCAGTCTCCAGACTTAACAGGGACAGCCTTGAGCCAGGGAGGAACGTAGCAGAGACAGCCCCTGCGGGAGGGTGACAAGGCACATCGACATGCGCAGGCCGTGACACCAGCCTAGCTCTGCATCTGTAAGGCTGGAGGGGGGGGGGATCCTGTGATGGTCAAGGAGCCTTCCTTCTCTAAATGCCTCTTTGTTCTTCAGGCTAAAGAGCTAGATGGACAGAGTGTGGTAGATTGTTTTCAAAGACGGCTACAGCCGTCCCTCCCACCCCTGTGCTCCTATTTCTCACATCAAGAGGTAGAGTCCCTCCCCCCCCTCCTGAGCTGTCCCCGGTAACTTGCTTGGGGCCACAGAATGCAGCAGGCGTGGTGCTGTGTGACCTCTGTAACCAGGCTGTAAAGAGACCACATAGCTTCCGTTTTTACTCTCTTGGAAGCCAACAGCTACGTAAAGAAGTGCAGGCTATCCTACTGAGGGATCACACGGTGAGGGCCCTGGAGCGTGAGAGGGCACAGGAGGAAAACAGCCCCCAGCCAACAGCCAGCACCACCTGTCAGACCTGCGAGTAAGGCCATGGTGGACCCCAAGCCAAGCTCTCAGCGAAACGCAGCCACAACGTGACTTTAAACACTATCACATGGAGCGGAAGAACTGTCTTGTGAGTCCAGAATCATGAGAAACGGTAAGTCATTGTTTTAAGCCATTGAGTTTTGGGGTGTTTTGTTGCACAGTAATCTGTGCTGGTCTCTTCCAGATTCTGCGATTTGCAAGGAGGTAAAATAAGAATAGCATCAGCTCTTTTGGGCATCAGCCCACCTATGGAGTGAGTTCTCCCCTACTCAAAGTTCATCATCACTGGGAAAGTGGGGGGAAAGCATCCTCCTTCTTAACTCTGTAGCCTTGGCCAAGTCCATCAACCTCTCCAGGCCTAGGTCTCCTTAATTGTGAAGTGAGGGGGAAATGGCCTCTATCTCACACGGGCTCTTAAGAGAAGCAACTGAAATAAAAAGCCATTGGTACAGTGTATGGCTTGTTGGAAATACCCAATGAAGGGAGTAAGAGAGTTGGATAGGACAGGATGAGAAGGGATCGGAAAGGGACATAAAAGATCAAAAAGTTCCAATCACTGTGCCTCCCACTGAGCATGGAGATTCTCAGTCGGCATTTGAGCTGAGTCAGCGCAACAGAAACAGCGAGAATCAGAGACAGGGCACGGCTGGAACACGTCAGCTACACCTTCCTGACACAGAGGTTAGGAAGCCCTGTACAGGGGTGTGGGAGGGAAGACAACCCTAATGATATAGAATGAATGACATTTGTCCTTCATGTGTTCAAAGAAGAGAGTGCAGAGGAAGAAGCCAAAGAAAGGCAAGGCGGAGAGACCAAGAGGCCGCACCCCTTACTCCTCCACTTTCCCCCCTGAATATCTTCCACTTATTAAATGAGAGGAAAAGAATTGTAAGTTGGCTAAAAAGAAATGAGCAAACAAACAAACAAAGTATTTGTTTAAGAGAAATTTGGAGCCATTCTGAAACTTGAGGAGTTGGAGATAAACAGGATGGGAGAGGCTTTAGTTACAATGGTTTCATTTAGGTAAATGAAAACAATTTATACAGCTTTCTTGGAAGCTGAATCTATGGACATAGAGATCTAGCAATGATATTTGCAAAATGGTAACTAGCATGCAATAATGTGTCCCCTGAGGAGTGAGTGAATGAATGAATGAATGAATGAACGAACGAACGAACGGTAACCAGCTGCCATAAGACCCTAATTTGGGATGAGGCTCAGTTTGGGCACCAGCAGCTCCGCAGTGATTGTCCATCTATCTTCAGACATGCTCAAGAGCCTCCCAGAGGGTTCTGCCTCCTGCTCCTGCACTTTGAGGCCTTGAAAACCCAGCCACCTGTCCCTAGCACCCTCAGCACTCGCCTGGCAGGTGGGCTGGCTCCTGAAGGCTAGACAGACATCAACACAGACAAGGACAGTTTCACAGCTGCGAAGTGCCTTATGTTTCCAGTGGCTGAGAGCTGCTCAGAACGGTGGGAATGGTCGCCTTCCTGGTGTGCGGCCAGGCCTGACACCGCGTTCTCTGTCTGCTGAGCAATCCCAGCAGGCACATCTATAAATGTGCAGAGTGGACCTACAGCCTCCCAGTGCCGCTCCAGCCAGACAGGAGCTCAGCTTCATCTCGCTCAGACCCAGGCACATCCTCCCATTCAAGGGCCTTCTGGTCAGTGGACGTAAGTGTGTGAAGGGGCTGCTCTCTCACCTCTCGCTGGCCTCCCTTCTCAGTCATCCCACAGGATGAAACCAAACCATACAGAGCCCTCTTTCCTACTCACCCCCAGTCGTTCTGCGCTCCCTCTTTTTTCCTGAGGGACCTCATCTGAGTGTACCCAGGACTTCTTGAAGCTGAAAAGTCATGCCCAGGGCACAAGAAGCTGAAAAAGCGGTCTTGATGCAGGCTAAGGACTTACTAGTGTCATTATATGTATGTGACTATCACAATTCCCTCTTTTCCTTTTTAAACATTTTTGTTGAATTTATCGGGGTGACTCTGGTTAATAAAATTATATAGGTTTCAGGTGTATGATTCTATATCACATCATCTGTATATTGTATTGTGTTCACCACCCCAAGTCAACTCTCCTTCGATCACCATTTATGCCCCCTTTACCCTATTCTACCCCCCCCCCATGGTAACCATCACACTGTTGTCTGTGTCTGTGGGATTTTTTCCTTTGCTTAATCCCTTCACCCTTTTCACCCAGCCCCCCTCTCCTCTGACAGCTGTCGGTCTGTTCTCTGGAGCTACGAGTCTGTTTCTACTTTGTTTGCTAGTTCATTTTGTTCAGGAGCTGATCTGGACATGGGGCTGGGTATATTAGCTCACTTTTGCACGTGCCTCATTCAGGGTGTCTATTAGAAGTCCACATGGCCCCACTCCCGGGCAGACTGGGTACGTGAGTCTAGACTTCTGAGGGATAGACTGAAGAATGGGGGACACGTATTTGGGAGTTGACAGTCTATGGATACTATCTAAGTACATGAGGCTGTGTGAGACATCCCTGATGGTGGGGCCGTGTCTGTGTGGTTCACTACTATATGCCCAGTGCCTACAACACTCAAATATGTGATGTAACTGATCCAACCTACTTTCTTTTCTGCAACTTGCCTTACTAAGCTACTGTCCACTCTCCTGCGAACCACACCCACAAACAGCCCTGAAAAATGTCACTACGTCACAGAAAGCAAGACACCAAGGTGACCTCATCCATTTTCTACACACTCAGGTGAACCTTTCACATCTCAGTTTGATCTCATTAGCAGCCAGGCCCTTGCTTATCTGCATTTATAGCTCATGGGAAGACAGAGGGTGCTGTTGGGCACAGAGCTCCGTGGCGGAGGCCCTGAAACCTGGAAGCTGACCTCTGAGCTCCTGCCTCACGGCTGACGGTGGCCTCTGCCAGGGAGAAGGCGCCTTACAGTGCGTGTAGTGATGGGGACAGAGAGTCACATCTGTAAAACTCACACTGTCAACAAGCCCCCGGCTCCGATA